GTAACCTAAATAAATTAATCCTAATTCAAACCTAATTAAGTAAAATATCAATTAATTAACAAATTAACAATTAAATATAAGTAAAATTAAAATTCAATCAATTAATCGAATTAACCTAACAATTATAAAAATAACAATATTTTTTAGGAAACAAAAGAGAGAGAGGGAACATACCTTCGAAAAATTAGAAAGAGATGGAGAGGAGGGAGGAAATTCGAAGCTTTTTAGAGAGAAAAGAGTTTGAAGTGGGTGGGGGTTACTAAGGAGAAAAGGAGTTGAGTTTTGTGGTGATTTCGAGTGGGATTGACGACAATGGCAACAACAAGGGGGAGGAAAGAGAGAGGAAGAAAGAAATGAGAGAAGAAGAAATGAAAATTATGATTTAGGGATTTAAAATTAGCAACGGACTCTAGTTGATCGCTAATCAACGATAGGTATAATGTCACTCGCTAATCCATCTCGACTTAAAAGAATTTGAATAAGAAAAGTTCGTTCGTTTTTTTAATATTAGCGATGAAATAATTTGCGAGGGAAATGTTCGGTTAGCGACGAATTTGCCGTCGCTAACCACGAACCAATAAAATAGCAACAAAAACTTGGTTCTATCGATAATTTCCCTCATAATTCCCATTTCTAAGCCATTTTTAATATACCCATGAATATTTTACCATCAAATATAATGATAAAAATAGGTCACTTGTTGAAAATCCATCACTAATTCATTGATGTACTATGGTTGATGTCCATAACTCGACAATAGTTGCAATTCGTTTGTCAATCCATCGCTAGTTAGCATGAGATTGTAATCCATCGCTAATTTTTCGTCGTTATTTTTTGATTTTCTTGTAGTGATTCTCTAATATACTTCTTAAATAAAAGAAAAGAGTGGTAAAATTGAAACTCGTAATTATTTAGTTATTAAAATTTTGATACTTTATCAAAAAGCCATCTTAGCTCAATAATTAAACCATTAGACAAGATCTCTATAATGATTTTATATTATTCTCTAATAGTTATAAATATTTACAGTTCATTTCAAAAAACCATAATTAATTACTAATTACGTACATAGCTGGAGCTAATAATGAAGATAGCTCAACTAAAATTAATGTATTCGTTGTCTTTAAGAATGTCGAGTTCGAAAATCTTGTTTTTTAATATATATATAGACTGTTTATAGGGTAAAATGTACCAGGACCTTCTCTACTCAAAATTGAAGTTAAAAATCAATCCTTAAGTTAAGTGAAGTTAGATTTTCATCCAATTTTTTTAGAGTAAAATGCGCGAAGCCTCCTTATACTATTGCACAAAACACAAGTAGTCCCTGAAAAAAATATTCAACATAAATTGGGTATTTCTATTAAGTGGACTAGGATGTCATGTTCTAGATTTACTTAGTTCAAATTGGATGAAAATCTAACTCTATTTAACATAAAAGACTTAATTTTATCTAAAATTTTGTTTAGAAACTGTTTATACTAAATAATTTGCTCAGGAACCTATTTGCACTTTGACTATTAGTACATAGAATCCTCATATATTTTACCCCTGTTTATATTAAATTTAACCTTATATTATATTATACTCAATTATCTAATAAACCAAATAGAAGAAGACAATACAAGAAACATAACCATTTACCGTCAAAATAAACTAACAGAAGAGCATATTATTATTAGTTTATACGTTTGAAGAACTACTCTCTACGATTATATAACAATAGTTGCTTGATTCAACAAAGAAAGATATTCAATATTATTATTTGTCATGTATAGGTTGTTTGGATATGTTAAGGACCATATTCTATTTGTGTTTAAAGAGCCAGTCGGCCTAACTTGACTTAAAAATCATATTTATAAAGAATAAAACACAGATTTTGAAGATTCAGATCGATCGGTTTTGTTAAAAAAAAAAATAAATATTGAATAGCAAATGAAGGAGGAGGTTTTTTTAGGAGCAATTAATCAGCTCAACCAACCCGAAAGCTCGACGCCTATATATGTGTCACTTAGGCTTTTCTACCTATACCAACTGCATTAGTTTAACAATCAAGAAAGTCGAGCCTAGGGAAGAAAATTTCAAAATAATGCTTTGGGGGTGAAGTTCAAAATTTGAAAGCAGGTTGACAGTACTTTCACAGTCACGGATGAATGATTCCATAAAGAGAAAGAAAAGACAATCATCACGACAAAACTGCCACATGAGTTTGCACTATAATAGCGATACCGAACAATTATGGTGCCTTTTTCCTGCCTTCTCGATCTGCAGAATATATGGCCAAGATTACTACCATTACTCGTAATTAAGACGACATGCCAAGACACAATCTTACAAAGAATCCAATTAAAATTATTAAATTCTTTACTTCTTTATATATATATATATATATATAACAAGAGTAGGATTAAAAAAAATAATAATAATCTCTTGAAAAAAAAACTCTAACTTGGGCTTTGTGACGAGACTGCATGTTATCTCAAGATAAAAGGAGTCAACGTAGAAAGCCATTGGAACAAGATGTCATGTGTAGAAAATGTCTATAGAATGTCAACAAAGAACCTGAAATTCAGCAATTTTCTTCTGGGTTTTGTATCGATATATAATTAATTTCAGGATTAGGTATTAGGTGAGCAAACAAATTCTTTTAGAATTAATTAATAAACAAATCGAATAGCATCATTTTCCTCATCCTAATTTAATTCTTTTGTTTAATTCGTTTTTCATATTAAATAATTAACATGTATCAACTAGACAAATAACAAATCGAATTGTTAATTGTCTAGTATATTGGATGTAATCGACGAGTCTAGATTCTTCATCAAAAAATTAATATATGTCCTTGTTTTCGACATTCCACTCCACGTAAACAACCTTTCCCATCAGACATGCTTAAAGGATCAGACTGAATTTTCTTTTTTCTTCCTTTTTTTTTTTTTTTTTAAAGAGAGTGTTCTTTGTAATTCACTTAAATATAATTGCACATGTACTTATGCAAAAAAAGGGGATTTTTTTATTTATTAATGTTAATTTATATATTGAAAGTAATTCTCTCTTTTTTTTAACCCTCTACATTCACATAAAAATATAATCAATGATATGTTTGTTTACAACATGGAAAAGACTAAGGGCACCTGTTAAGAGTTATTTAAATATATTTATTATTGCATTGTGATTAAAAAAAAAAAAAAAGTCAAAAGTCCAAAATGTCTCTCTATTATTTCAAATATCTTAATCATGTCTCTTTACTAAAATTTTCAACTATTGTGTTCCTTTTTTATGTCTGCATTTAGTCCTTCGATCACATTTTCTAACACCGGAGATAATTTTTCCTTTAAGAGTAAAAAAATACAGACATGTGGCATTAATTTTTTTCCTCTCAATTTTTAATATCAGTAAAGATTGAAATGAAATCAAAAAAATAAAATCCCAAATTACCCCCATTTAAAAACCCAATATTTGGGGATGTTCTCTTTTGGAATGAAGTGTCCAGAGAATAGAAAAAATGCTCCAAGAACTGTGCGGATGAGAGAATTTCCTGAAAGGAAGTCATGGGAGACTGCACTTAGGAAAAGCACTAGAGAACTAGCCATCAGGACAATAGCCAGACCACAAATGCAAAGAATGTAAAGGCAACAATGGAAGGATTAAGTCCCACAATCCAATAAACAGGAACAACAAAAAGAATAGCCATAGCAAACAGAAAAGGCAGAAAGACAATTGTGTTGGCAATCGTGTAGGAGGAGATACTATAGGCTCTTTTTAGAGATTCTTTCATCAGAACATGCTTCTCTTGAAGGTATATTGAAAGAGCTTCCACTATTGAAGAATGGAGAAAACTAAGACTGAATGCAACTAGACCTAATCGCTCATCAACTCCTTCCTTAAGGATACATTTAATTGTTGGAATCTCTCTCCCATTGTAACCAGCAACTCCCCTTTACAATGGCAAAAGATTTGGGAATTTTGGGTCTATTTTTTTTATATAAATCACAAACAATCCTTTGACTAATTTTAAGCATGAAAAAATTAGGTTATATTTGAGAATTTAGGAAAAAATCGATCTTAGGGAAGGGATATAAGGGTTTTGTTAAATGGGAGCAATTTGGGGTTTTTTTTTTATTATTGTTACAAATTGAGAGAAAAAAAAAAAAACTAATACCACGTCTCAGCATTTTGTTATTCTTAATAGAAAAATTATCTCTGGTTTCAGAAAATGTGATTTGAGGGACCAAATGCAGACACAAAATAGAGTAGAAGAATACAATAGTTGAAAAATTTAATAGAGAGACATGATTAAGACATTTGAAACAGTAAAAGAACATCCTTGACCTTTAACCCAAAAAAAAAAAAAATCAAATAATTGAATAAAAAATAAATGGTGTTGATTATAAATATTAAATATGTGTTATTTTATATATATGGTAACGTTTTAAAGTGATAACGATAAATTCTACCACCAAAAAGAAAAATAAAGATTGATTTTGCACATTAAATAGCTCTTAACTAATACCTTAAGAATCCTTAAATCATTGCAAAAAAAAAAAAAAAAAAATCATTTCAGAGAAATTAGAAAACAAAAATTACTTTTTTGTGCGAGAGAGGGAGTACCTAGCTAGTCTATATGTGCTGAATAGGTTCGGTATATCGATACCACCAAAGCAAGGAAGATATATATACTATATATACACATGATTTAAAAAAAAAAAAAACATAGTAATTGGTAATAAGAACACTTGCAGTAATTTGGCTTAAGGAAGACTTGAGGAACATTTGCTAATGAGACCCTAACAGAGCCAAAAAAAAAAAAATACAGAATATTCAACCTACTACATGCGTACCTAACGCAAAATAAAATTAAAAAATAATACATGCATACCTAAACTGCCTCTTCTCTCCTTTTTTTTTTTTTTCCTCCTTAATTCTGTTCACTGTAATTTTGCACTTGCAAACGGTTGACAGGCTTCTGCTGACTTTATTTCAGGGTCAATGGAGCTTATACATTATTGATGCCATGTCGTTCCTCTCTTTGTGGAAACCCTCCTGCCTCCAACACCTAGAAAATCCAAAGTCAGTTTATCTGACCCAGCAAGACTTTGATGCAAATTTTCTTCGTCTACTTTGCTAAAACTTGAGCTATCAAACCCTGTATAGCTGTTATCCTGTTCATTTCCAAAAATTGATGAGCTCCCATTGGCAAAAGAATTCATCAATCCTTGAAGTTGGCTTTCACTTTCCAATTGTGTTTCTAAGCTTTCACCTACAGTTGCATTGCCGAAACTGCTGCCGAAGTTAGTGGAAACAAGTGGCCTAACAGATTTAGCGCCAGTAGTTGAAGAACTGCCCAAGCCTCTCAGTAAACTAGTTGGACTGTTGCTGCTAGTAGTTGAACCCATTTGAGCCGCTTTTTGAAGCAATGCAGTAGCAGACATATGTGGGGTGACGTTCTCTTGTTGCATTGAAGTATTGAAAAGAGAGGACATAGCCGATCCAACATGATCACCACCCATGTTACTGGAGAAGAGTGTTGTCCCTTGGCCAGCACCATGGACATTGTTGAACGGGTTAGCACTTAACAAGCCGGGATTCACTAAGTTGGTGGTTGTGCTTCCAGTGTTGCCATTCTCATTGTTACTAAGGCGGCTAGTGTTATTACTATTTGAAAAGAAGCCAAGGTTAAAGAGATCGGAAGCCGAGGACGAGTTGTTGGTGTTGCTTTGAAGATCAGGAAGTTGCATTAGCCCATGTAAGGATTTGTTTGGAAATGGTCCTTGGTTTGCATCTCCCATAAAGAAAGCAGATGAAGGCATCATCGGCATTGAAGAAGGATTAGGTGGAGGGATTAGGTGCTCGAATTTGGCTGCCCCAGCATTGCCCAGCCGTAACGTGTTATTACCAGATGGGTGGTGATCTTGTAACTGGGAAATTCGGGAACCCACTTGAGATAGGCCTAAGCTCATGTTGTTATTTCCATACAGATGACTTCCTATAGTGTTCAAGCTGGCAGGATGTCTTGCACTTTCCTGAGCTAGTGCGTCACAAAAAGCTCTATGTGTGATAAAACTATCTCGCCTGCAAAAGTGATTATAATAAAAAGAAAGTCATGAATCACACCACTTTGACTTATGAATGGAAAAGATGGAAGGACTTTGACACACATAAATTTGAAAATGCACAACTACATGTAATGATATTTTTTTACTAGCCATTTCTAAGAAGCTAAGAAAGAATACGTTCAACAACTACTTGAACCCAGAAAGAAAAATTACAGTCAATTTCTTACCATCGGATCTTTTAATTAAAACTAAAGGGGCATTAGTGCAGATTATCAGAAAGTCATTTTCTTCTTTTCTTGAATGAATTAATGGCAGTATAGAATGGAGTAGGCATATAAAATTATGCATAAAAAACTAAAAGGGAAAAAAAAAAACAGAAAACGAGAATAGCAACATCAAGAAAATGGCTAGTGTTATTCGAAGGTCATACAAATTGAATATATTCAAATCATCTAGATGCCATAAGAACAAAGAAAACTTGACATTGATTTAACTAATATTCTATGTGACCCCCAAATTTGCCTTCGATAAGGAAAATAAATGTTTAGCACTGTCACCTCTCTCCCCCTTCCCACTCCCACGATAATGTCAAGAGTTGAAACCCAAAAAAATTGAAAAAAAAAAAAAAAATAGAGAGAGAGAGAGAGAGAGAGCAAAGAAAGTAAAAACATATGTTGGATATCACATGTTTTTTTTTGGATATCATATTAATTTTCACTTAGGAAAATATATAGGAATATTTTCAATAACTATTAAATGTTTAGCACTGTCCCCTCTCTCCCCCTTCCCACGATAATTTCAAGAGTTGAAGGGAAAAGAAGAAGAAGAAGAAGAAAATCATAATACCTTCCTTAGTCAAAAAAATAAAAAGAGAGATTAAAGAAAGTAAAAATTTACGTTGGATATCAAATAAATTTTATTTTTTTATTGTTATTTTTTTATATCATATTAATTTTCGTTTAGTAAAACTAGGAATATTTTCAATAAGTAAAAGAAATTAAAAGAGAATAGACAGCGACAAACAAATATATGGAAAAAAAAAAAAAAACTTTTATTTCTGAAGAGAGAGGAAGAAAATGTAGGGCAAAGAATTTTATGTTAGAATCAGAGAAGAAAGAGGATAAATCAATCCAAATCTAATTACTATTTTAGGTAGTGGCTCTTCAATAGATGAACAAAAGAACTATTTGCTAATTCGATGAAAAACCAGAACTCAGAAGCCTATTTCGGAAACTAGCTTCAATTAATGCAAAGTCCATGAAGAGTCTCCTTTTCCATTGAAGGAATATTTTCCACTTCCATGAAAGCTGTCAATAAGTTATCACATTCTGAGGAAACCTCAGATCAAAAGAGACTGCAATGCTTTCAAAGGACCGTAAAAACATTCTCTCCGGCTCCCCCTCGATAACAAAAAGAAAACGAATGGTTGAAGAGTAGACAAAATTTGTTTCTTAATTACCGCTGCTCCGAGAGAGAGAGAGAGAGAGAGGGAGAAGCATCTCAACCCCACAACCCTAACATTTTCATGGGAAGTACTTGAAAGAACTGAGCCAGCCAACCCAGAAGAGAACAAACTCAATAGCATATAGTTATTTCCAACTCACATGAGAACAAACCCAGTAACAATATACTATCTGACACACTTTATAACAACAACACGTGAATAGATAAAAAAGATGAAGGACTGGCGGTGTTACCAATGACGAAATATGTTATCACTTTTTATTTTTTCTTCTGTTTTGGTTTTTTTTTTTTTTTTTTTTTTTTCATCATCATGTCTTTTTGGAGACCGTCACACAGCATGGCAGTTTCACAGATTGTTCACATGCAACTAGTCCTCCTGCCGAGTGTGTGTATGAGAGAGAGTTACCTCAGATTAGATAGGCCGAAAGATCCACTCTACGAGTATTCCAAAAGAGAAGAAGAAAAGTACTGGGCCTTTTCTCTTTCTCTTTTTTTTTTTTTTTTTTTTTTTTTTTTTTTGTCCCCTCAAACTCTCAGTCTCTCAATCTTGCAAACCTTTTTATCATCACACTTTTGTCTATAGCTATAGCTACAATGAATGAATGAATGAATACCTATGACGACTATCATTATGGTTATATGATTAATAATGGAGAAAGAATTAATCAGTTACCTTGAGAAAAGAGTGCCACAGTCACATCTGTATTCTCTAGTACCGCAAGTCTTAGAATGGGCTTTCCAATCAGATTGAACAGCATATCTTTTTGAGCACTTTTCACACTTCCATTTCTTCTCACCGTGCTTTCTAGAGTAGTGCTTTTTGATGCCAGTAAGGTCGCCAAGAGCCCTAGAAGGATCATGGTGAACACATGTTGGCTCGGGACACAGATACACCTTCCTCTTCACTTCTTTTGTACTCTTCTGCTTTAGCTTCCAAGGCAGGTTGTGTCCTCTTCTGTGGAGCTGTAGGTTTTGCTCCCTTTGGAACCCTTTGTTGCATACCTCACATATGAACCTGTTTGTTGCCATTAGAGTCTTCGGAGATAGCGCTATCACTTCTGCATCTGGATCTATGATGAAAAATTAATGCCACAATGTTTACTATTAGAAAAAGAAACAGGTAGCTAATAATTAATGAGGAATAAATCATGTATAATAGAAGAAGGAAAAAAACAAAAAAGAAGAAGAGGTAGCTTGCAATACTTCAACTGTTGCTTGAAAGTTAGTATAATTAGCATTAAGTATTCCTGAAAATTAAAAAACCCATGTAAAAAATATTTCTGTTTTGGCCCTTAAGAAGAAGAGATAGGGTTTCGTTGATGGTTAACAGGATTATGCGATAGTAATATGTACTCATTTAACACATGGATTCACAAATAGGATATAAAGAGCTACTTGCTTGGTGTTCCAGGTTGATTTCTCCTCTTCTTTTGAGGTTCTGTGGTTTGAACAGTAGAGGAAGTGGTTGTTGAAGAATGTTGTTGTGTCATCTGGTTTTGATTTTCTTCGCTTGCCCGGCCGAAGAAAGAAGCAGATGATGAAGCGGCGGCCATCTTCAAGATGTCTTTCTGCAGTGTAGCTGCTTGTTCTCTTTCTTCAAAGCAAGCAAATCTAGGACTCAAAATTGACCAAAAATGATCAACACATATCTGAGGGCTAGGCTATCTATAGCATATCCACTAAGGAAAAACTCAAGTTCTTGTAAAAAGCAAGAAAAGAATATTAAAGAATATTCAATCAAAAAAATAAAAATCTTGGTGTGGGATATGATGTTACCTCCTTTGTAGCCCTTCAGATACAACCCAGAAAGAACCAAGAGGAAAGATTAAGATAAAACCCACAAAGAACCAAGAGAAAAGTATAAAAGGGGACAGCTACAATCCGGAGATGAAGAGAAGAAAACAAGCAATCTTAGACCTATTTTGCTTCTACTCCTTCTGAGTTCTTGTTGTTTATTAATATATATATAAAAACTTGATATCACTCAGTCTCATAATTGTTCCTCAACCATTTAATGCCATGTATGTGGACAACACATACATGTCTACCTTACACATACTCATTCTCTTTGGTCTACGTACTCTTATGTTTGCATTTTTTTTTCTTTTATGAATGATATATATAGATAAAAACTTTAAAAAAAAAAAACCCACATTTTTATTATTATCAAAGAATCAGTCAACTAAAAAATGATATATCAAATCAAAATTGATGTTTTTTTTTCAAGTTCATTAATTAAAATTCAGAAGAAAAAGTTTTATATGGATGTATCAAATAACCTTTTAACTAAAAACTTTAACTTATTGATCAGTTATAAAGAGTAGTATATAATTTTACAACTTTTTCTAACTCATATGTGCCTCTAGAAATAGAGAGAAGAAATTAAATTTGTGAGTTAATTCAAGAGGAGCAAGGGTGTCACGGTTCACACAGTTTTGACACACAGCCTCCGCTAATGTGTCGTATGCGGCGTTGGCTGGGACAACGGGCCCCGTTGGCCTTACCCTCTCCCCATCTCTCCTTCTCTTATTTCGTATCTTGTTTGGTGCATCAGGACAACCCTCTCTTTCGTCACTCGTGCCTTTTAGTGCCCTCACTATTGTGCCTACTTATTTCTAACCACGGAGTCATAATTTTTTCAAAGAAAATCTACCTTTCAAAAATATATGTTATTATGCATACGATCAGTTTAATTCTTTCACCCAAAACATCTTCTGCCAGCGAATGCGTGTTTATGGATGGGCGGGGAGAAAGAAAATAGAAAAACTCTTTCTCAATCTCGTTTATTTTTGTTGCTTAAGTTTTTCTATTCGATTGGAATTGGGATTAATTACTTATTTGGCTGTACCTCAGATGTTGCTCGGATGATAATTTTATTATTAGTGGTAGTATTGGAAGGCTGTGAGTTTTGAAATATACATCGATAGATTTATCATTACTTAATAACCAAATAAATTAAAGCTGTTAGGATTTGAAACTATTTCACATAAGAAAACTAGCTACTTAAAACACAAATGCTATACTACATCTACTCAAATGATGAGTGAATAATTCATTTCTCACCTTATCCTAGGAGAGTTTTGGATGCATCTTTTCGAATGTGGATAGTCCGCTTAAAATCCAACTAAATTATGATATAGTTTTGGTAATGAAAATATCTATTCAATTAAAAAAACTTAAGTTGTTGGGCTTAAAACTGAAAAATGCCCATCATTATCTTGTAATTTTAATTTTAATAAAAAAAATTTAAGTCTGTTGAACTTGAAATTTTTCCAGACTCATTGCTATCTTATAATTTTTAATTTTATTTTAATTAGAAGATTGGAGTGGTAGGATTCAAATAAGTGCATAAGGATGTTGTGCTTATTCTAAAATACAATCAAGAAATTAAAAGTGCCAAAGATTTCTAGAAGCATCTCATATATCCAAAAAAAATTTCTTGACTGATTGGATATATTAAAAAAAACAACAATAGCCACAACAACGGGAGCTAGATATACAACATCAAGCCAATGATGCATATCCAGAAGAACTCGGTTCCCTCACGCCCTATGTAACAAATTACACAATGTAAAAGAGAAGAACATCAATCATAAAATAAATAAATAAAATTCACATTCATACCCAAATGAAAACTCAATTCCCTTAATGGCCCATACAACATCAACATTAAAATTAAAAGTGCTAGAGATTCTTTGAAGCATTCCATCGAAAAAAGACTTTCTTCATTGATGGGATAGATTAAGAAGACAACGATAGCCACAACAATAGAAGCTAAATATATAGCATCAAGACAAGGATGGATACCCAAACGAGAACTCAATTTCCCTCATGCCCCATGTAACAAGCTATACCAAGTAAGAAGTGTAGAACAATTAGCTCATAACTATTGTCGTTATATAATCATTCATCAACGGATGCTGATTATGACAATTTGGCTTAAGTTATTGGGTTTGAAATTGTATAGACACACCATTATTTTATAGTTTAAATTTTAATTACAATAATAAAATGATGAGATTCGAATTCATGATAATTTAGCCTCTAAAACTCTAGCATCATATTATAGAACAATCTCAATTCAAAAACTTAATATGCCAAATAAGGTTTCTAAAATAAAATTATCCCTTCAAAAAGTTGATTTGTTTTTTTAGTTATTTATTTATTATTATAAAGCTTTGAAGTGCTTAATTTGAAGGTGATGTAGCAAAAGCTCACAATAAGAAAATAAATACCGTTGATTTGAAACTCGGATATCGGTTTACTATAACCTATTGAATTATGCATAAATATCGAATTACGCATAAATATCGGGAAATAGGCTTCAAATCCGTTGATTCAAAAAATGTCAAAACTTGCATCATATTATAGAACAATCTCAATTCAAAAACTTAATATTCTGAATAAGGTTTCTAAAATGAAATTACCCCTTCAAATAGTTGATTTGCTATTTTATTTATTTATTTATTATTATTATAAATCTTTGAAGTGCTTAATTTGAAGGTGACGTAATAGAAGCTCACAAGAAAATAAATATCGCCGATCCGAAACTCGGATGTCGATTTACTATAACCTATTTAATTGTACACAAATATCAAAAAATAAGCTTCAATTTCGTTAATGCAAAAAAAGTCAAAAATTGGGATAAAACTCTAGTATCATATTATAGAACAATCTTAATTCAAAAACTTAATATGCTAAATGAGGTTTCTAAAATGAAATTATCCTTTCAAATAGTTGATTTGTTGTTTTAGTTATTTATTTATTATTATTTTAAAGCTTTGAAGGGCTTAATTTGAAGGTGACGTAGCGAAAGCTCATAAGAAAAAATAAATACCATTGATCTAAAACTCGAATGCTTGATCTACTATAACTTATTGAATTATACATAAATACCAAGAAATAGGCTTCAATTTTATTGATTCAAAGAATGTCAAAATTTGGGATAAACTTGAGTTACTCTCTTATAAACTTTTATTAATTAAAGAAAAACTACATTTTTCGGCCTACTAAGTCATACATAAGTAGAAAAATTCGATCAAAACTCTAAAGCAATTTAAAAAGAAAACAAATAAAGAAAAATAAAGAAATAAAGAAAAATCTTTAAAAAAATAGTAAAAGTCAATTTTGAGGGCATAAACAATTTTTTTGGCCAAAATCACCCCAAAATCATAGCCGTAACCTATGCGTTTTGCTCGTTCGCCCATTTAGCATCGAACTACGCTTAAAAAACTTAGAATTAGGCCAATAGTTTTTACAACTTCTATTGTGCTCATACCGTTCTATGAACTTTAAGGCTCGTTAGTTCACATCATTCCTCCGAGGAAAGAGAAAATTTACCCTTGAATTATTTCCATCATCATCATTAGAAGAATCATCGTAAAATGAAGCCAAGTGTTTGACATTGAACACATCGGTAGTGCGAATATGCCTAGACGACTTGAGACGATAAGCATTGGGGTTAATCTTCTCAAATATCTTCATAAGCCGAGCTAGCAACACCATCTTGCTATTTTTTTTTTTTGTAGGTTTGGAAGCACCCAAGATCTTGCTAGGTACAAGTACAATCTTTACCTCAATAAACATAAAACTATATGTGTTGGCTACAATCTTTACGTCATTAAACATAAAACTATATATGTTGGCTCGCTTATTATGAATTACACCTCTATCATACTGCCGAGGCCTACCCAACGATAAATGACATGCATCTATTGCAATCACATCATATCACATGTCATCCTTATACTTAGAGCCAATAGAAAAAGAAACTAAAGCTCATTGAGAAATAGTTACCTCTTTCCCTTTTTTAAGCCAAGCTAGCTTGTAAGGCTTAGGGTGCCTCTCTATTTTGAGATTCGGTTTACGTACTACTTCATCGGACATAATATTCTCACAACTACTAGTATCAAAGACAAAATGACATACCTTACCTCGAATTATGTAGGTGGATTGGAAATTTTACTCCTTAGCCAATCATTATCATGAACATTCCTCGAAAAAACCTTAGAATTAGGCCGATAGTTTTT